GTATTTACAACCTTTTATAAATATTAAGTATTTATTTTCGAAAGTAGTATTAAAATGATTTGATATTTATTTCATGTTTAGATCTTTATAGTGTAAAAATCTATTGGTTACATTTGAAAGCACTTATTTATGTATTGTATTTAAATATTAACAACATTATTCAGAGTTATACTTTTTTGAGAAATCATAAGACTCCAATTCCCAGAGATAGTCGTCGTCGACGAATAAGTGTCGCTCAAAGTTAAGTTGGATTATAAACACTTTTGGTTGTAAAATTTTTATTTTTAATATCTTTTCTAGTGTGGTATTTTAAATAAACAAAATTACAAAAATGCTAAAATCGTTTTAAATTACCAACTACCTCTACATTTATAAATTTTTCAAATTTTTTATATATTTAAAATGTGTCTATATATATATTTTTAATAGATAGTTTGATATTGTCTATATATGTTATCTTTAATTATTCTTATATACTCCAACAACTTCATTATCTATTTTTCATATGCAAATATGCATCTTCCATCAATGGAACTAAAGTTTTGGTTTTTTTTCTGTTGCTCTTAATCTTCACTGTTTCGTTACGAGTAAAAGATGTGTAGGGTTTTTTTTCATTAAACGCATCCTCCCATGTATAGTCCGTAATTCCCCATGATTTACTTATACGCTCTCTCTCTTTTTTATCAAGTGCATTCTTAACTTTAACCTCAATTTTATTTTCAGGTTTCTCTTCATATGGGTTAGATGTGGGATGTAAACATTTTTGACTCAATAAATTTTCTTCCATAGTTTCCAGTTTTTCTTGAGACATTGATTTATATAAATACTCACTAGTAAGTGATGGGGGTGATCTAGTCGTTTTTAGCAAGGAAATATACAGTTTTTTCATTTCAAAGAGTTGTCCATAAAAACCGGGACACTTATCTTTGTAATTTTTACACATTACATATAGTAAAAAATTTGTAAAATCATATAACTGTCGAAGTTTTAGGTAAAGTTGTTCTTCATTATTGAAACATAATTTAATTAAATTCTTGGTTTTACTCCTCATCATTTCCAATAACTTTTCAAAATGATACTGTTCTTTTAAATTTAATCCATAGCCGGATACCAAATAGTTCAGTAAATATATTAGCTTGTTAATGTCCAGAAATTTCTGACGATCGGTGTCGTTGTAAAAATCGATTTCATATATCAATTTAAAGTATCCATCCTGTTCGATTAGAAGATTAAAATATTTCTCATAAGGTGGAGTTTTAAAATCTAATAAGCAAGAATTAATTTCTTCAATATTTTCCGTTGTTTCCTCTAATTTTCGTTGTTCTTCCGCTTTTCTTTGAAAAGTATTTAGTACCTTTAAGAATTCGGGTGACACTCTTTTGTATTCGGGTGTTGTTAAATAAACGTTTTTAATATAATTTGATGTGCTATTTTTGATGAGAAACACATCTTTCTTTAGTTTCTTCGAATTTACATTTGAGTCTTTTCCTTTATGCTTCTTTGTAACCTTAGAAACGCTATATTCTGCTTGATTTTTCTCAGCAGTTTCAGTCTTCGTTCCAAGATTTGTAATCTTATTTACCATTTTTGTAATTTTATTAATTAAATTTTTTACTTTCTTGTTATTGAGAGCTCAACAAAATCTTTACATTTCAATGTGGAAAATTGCTGAGCTCTGTAGGATAGAAAAGATATTAATATCAAAAAAAAAAATTATTTTATGATTTGCTCACACTATGCACTATATTATCAGAAAAAATATAAAAAAAAATATTTAAAATATCACAGTATACTATTTTATACTTAAAGAACATGTTTATCTTATTTATTATCTATTGCTTAGTGGTGGCAACTCTATAAATTAGAATGACAGACATTGCTTATAAATAAAACGGAATTGCTGAAAATCTTCAAGTATGTCTACAAGTCTACCGACCAACTCTAAATAAGCAAAATGAGTACAGTAAATCGCCAGCTAAAATTTTACTAAAAAGTTATATCCGTGTTAAACTTGAATTGCATAAACTAACGCTGGTTTCGTTACCAGACCAAGTGCGATACACAGTTCAAAATGGAGGCTCTGATCGATATAGACCCCATTAAATTACAGCTGTGTTTTAGATTCAATATAAAAAGGGGAGGTGTTGGCAACCTTATAAACAAGAATGATGGACATTTCTTGTAATGAAAACAGATTTAAATTTAAATAAAGAAATTGTGAAAATACAGACAAAATACTAAGTATATGGCAGATGATTATTGTAGAATGTGGAATTATCCTTTCTTCGAGTATATTTATTCTTTAATAATAAACCTCTTTTTATCTTTACTTAAATCACAATTTTTATATGTGGGAAATTGATTTATATCTGGCAGTCTTTTTTGTCTTTATTATAGTAATTGGAAAGCATTTAAGACCCCAGTGTAAGAATGTGGAAACCACTTTTAAAGTAACAAAAAAGGAAAAAATTTGTATTACCAAGGGTAATAGTAAGACATAAATTAAGGACAAGACAAATAAGCACTATTTACGATGTTTACCAGCCATAGTGATTCTTCTTATATATCTTTAACGCCACAAAGGCGATTATATTTTATTATTATCATTTCCGCGGGTGTAATTTGAACTTGTTTGTTTAAAATATGACTTCCTCCTTGGTAAGGAGTTATCAGTCATCTCTTATTTATATTTGATCTTTGCAAAATAGCACACATCGAATTAAATTAATTACATACTGTGATCTTACGTGAATGTGTTTGGCTTTTAACTATAGCCACTGCAACGTTCCCTTTAAATAATTACATCTTTAAGGTGAACTTGTCAGGACAATCGAAACTGATATCAGATTTCCGCTTAATTACTATCAATGATACTCACAACAGCATGGAAATGGAGCACAATAATGAACAGAGAGAGAGAGAGAGAGATATAAAAGAGAAAGATGGAGAGATAGGTTAGGAGACTTAGTATTTGTATAAAGATAATAGCCGAGGTGAGATAATAAGAAAAGAGAGAGTAGGTTATCTTATATTCCTGTTTCAGTTGCTTGACAGTTTCCGTCCCCTTTAACTACTATTATATTAAACCAGTTTCTACCAAAGAACATAAATTAAAAAAGACAATAGTTAGAGTGAACGGATATTTATTTTTTCACAAAATTATAAAAATGCATTTAACACAAACCCTCTACTTATATAGCAAAATGGTGGTTTATACCAATTGTTTCTTGATTGAACTGAGTAAATAGATGTCTTGCTGAAAGTGTACTTATGCAATAACTTTATGGAAATCTAGTTATAATAATATACCATTAGAATTCCACTCAGTTTAACATATTCCTTACCATCTGCATTAAGCTATATAAGTTTATCTACAAGAAAGTCTCAATAATAATTATTATCTAATTTTTCTATATCCAGTAGATCTGACACTTCAGGCATTTGTTGAACGTTACTTAATTTATTGAGATTTTGTATGTTGTACCACGGATAATTTTCGTTCCAATTTGGTTGGTCGGCTTCATCTGCACTTTGTTCTTCACTTAAAAATCTTTTAGCATCTTTTATAGCGCACCTATTAAGTCTCTCAATCGCAGCGTCTTCTCTTTTCTCATCGTCAATCTCCCGATCACTTGTATATTCAGCTGGTCTTGCTAACGATGTTAGCAGTGTTTTCGCTTGCTTTGGAGTCAACGAAGTACCAGCTTGTACAATTAATTTTCGTAAGTAGTCGACTATGACTGGTGTAAGCAATCCTTGTTTATAAATAGCGCGTAATAAATTAACCAAATCTTTACGTTCCAGAGCTGCAGCTCTCACCAGCATATGTATAAGATGCTTTAGTTGCTGGTCCGTAAGTGTTTTATCATCTCTAAGTAACGTTAATAAATCCACTAGCTCAAAGGGATCGACAACTAAAGTCTGAAACTCACTTACATAATCAAAATCGAGCCCATGAAGATATATCTGATCATCTGATTCCATCATGTAACGTAGGTAATTTTCCCAAGGCGTACAAGAGATTTGTACAGGCTTTGGTTTTCTTTTTTGAATCGGTGGTGGTGTATGATCACGTTTTTCAAATGTTGGTGGATCGCAATCACAGGGTCTAAGCATTTTATAAAACTCTGGAGATACTCTCTTAAAATCTGTTGTTGTTAAATAATATGTTGGTTTCGGTGGTTCGGGTATATATTCTTTATACTTCGGTTCGCACGGATCTGGACGGAGTTTAGCTGGATTATTTGCCTCAATGCAACAATATTTTCGTATTGACTCATTTATTGCGGCTGTTGCTGCATCTTCTTTCTCTTTCTGTTTTTGCTGCTGCTCCTCCTTATAACGCATAGAAGAATAAGGATCTCTTGTACCGGTAAGGATTTTTTTAGTTTCCTCGTTTTTGATTTCTTTTTTGGACTTATTACAAAGCCATTGGTTAATGTAATTATTGAAACGTGTATGCCTGCAGAAACATTCCATTTGGCATAATGGTATGCCAACATTGGGACATTTCCGTGGCTCTCCCCGTAGAAATTTGTTATAGGGTCGGTTCTGCATTTTTATAATTTTGCTTTTTTTCTATAATTTTGGTATATTGTTCATTTGTGCAGATGAGCCACACAACATTTATAACATATTTGGTATATGGAAAACTATTTCAATTTATATGCAAAAAAAAATAAATTTTAATTTATTTTGAATATATTTAATATAAAATTAAAATTTTCCGCTCACTTGATTAATTTACTATTTTTTTTAAAAATAAACCAAAATTTAAACAAAATTAATATTATTAAAATTATTTATAAGAGTATCATATGATAAGCCTGTGTGTGTGTGTTTAATAATTACTTCGATTTCATTGCTGAAATTAGAAGTTAATTTTGTCTGAAGTAATTTTTTTAAATTAATCAATCTAAGTTACTCACTATAGTAAAAATATTTATTATTGATATATAATAAATATAATTATTTTTGTATGTATACACAATAAAATATATAATACTGGTACAATGGTAATGTGAACTAAACTCAAATTCCATTCTTTCGATACTTTCTATATCTTCGTTTTTATCACTTCCAATCGATAAATTTTAATCAGACTTATCATAAGAATCTCTAGTATATGTGAGTGCAGTAAAGTTTTTTATTTTCAAAAAATTTTTTAAAAGAACACATTCTTTACATAAATTAGTAAAGAATAGTTGTATTATGATATGTTTATATATGATAAATATTCTATTAATCAATTTTATAATCTTTAGTTATCATGTTTCTAATCATGTTTAGAAATTGTAATCTTTGGAATCATTAAGTTTTTCGTATAGAATTTTAATATTCTTTATTTTTAAAATATATACCAATGTACTATTATGAAAAGTTGTTATTAATACCAGTAAAATGTCGATTCTTCAAAAGACAAAATACTCTAAAACGATCCATTGAAGATGTTCTATTATACTATTTTTAGAGAAATGGTTTTCAAATAGTTATAAAGTTGTGAGCTCATAAGTCACTTGTTAGTTTATGCTAGTTTTTTTTTGGCGACAAAATTATAATATTACAAAAAGGACAGCTTAATTTATTTATTTATGAAGTCGATGCCAAATCTTGAGTAATTCTCTGATAATTCTAAAAAATTTTTATTCCATGAATTAATAAATAGTAATATTATTGGTTGAATTAAAAGTTTTACTTTAACATACAATATAATAAGTAATAGATAATGAAATAGTCAGTACCCAACCAGTACTTACCAATATTTACTACCCTAATTAACCATATTCAACTCAACCAACGGATCGCGACGTGTTTGGTTATCTTAACATCATTCTGGTTAAGCTCAATCCATCTTCAGAGGTTTTATATTTCTCAAATTTCCAATTATCATCAGGTTCATACTTCATGAGTGGAAAATTATTTATTGCAGTATATGTGGGCAATTCGTCGAATGGATATATACCATTTACTGAAAGATATAATTTTTCAATATCATGTAAACATTTTTTGGTTAAACGACATTTATTTTTTTTAAATTTTGATCCGAAATTTTGATATGGGTTATTTTGGCAATAATTATTGGGACGCTGCTTATAACAGGGTCGGCACTTATTTAATGTATTTGTTAAATAATGTGCTCCCTGTACATAACTATTTGGATCACCTGGGTTGCCGAACAGAACGTATTGTTGTTGCTCACCCGCAACACATCCTTGATGTGCGCAAGGTGGTTTCATTTGTTTTATTTTGTATTTTTCCATTTCTTCTTCATTACATCCAGAAAATACGCATTCCGGCAATAGATACATGTTTTGTTCTTGCGGTTTTGTTGGATTCATATAATGATAAGGTTTATGAAGATTCATTTTCCATTCATGTAAGGAATTGTCATTGCATGAAAAAGGTATTGGTTGACATCCTACGTCCCAATAACTGCCACTACAACTCATAACTGTTATTTTGATTAACAAAAATTTGCCAAAAATAAACTATAGAAATGTTTAAAATCTAATATTGAAATATGTATTCACATCCTTTTTATATGTCAAAAGTTTTTTTTTGAAAAAGTATGTCATGAAATTTAAAAATTTTTTTAGATTTTGGCTTAATAAGGCCATTGTGTGACTACGAGCTATTATATTTATTTAAACCATGTTATGTAGAGTGTCATGGGTTCGCCAAAGTTGCAAATTTGGGATTGAGATTGTTACAGAAATTGTATTAATTTGCTACTAAAAGATATAAATTTATTACTGAACAACTGCTTTGCGTAAGTGATGAGGCACAGATAACCTAGGTTCCCAAATTTGAACCGACATATTATTTTTTTTCTAACTTTTAATTTTATAATTTGCATTGAAAACAACAACAAATTTGATTTTGACGACCCCATGACACTCTACATAATGGTCTTTATAAACTCTATTAACTTCCTAATTAACTGATTTATTTTCACGATATTATTAAGGTCTATTAGAAACATAAATCTTATGCTTTCCAATAAGTGAGTTGCATTATTCTTTAATTATAATCAACTTAAACAACAACCAACCAACAATAATTAATTATATCGTATCCTATCCCCAAATCCTATCCTATTTGATGTATTTCTACAAAAATGCTACGAATTTTTTTTGTTACATTAAGTCTACAGCAGTTTGTATTACATATCCCAGTCAACCTTATATTAGGTATATATGTTGATAATAATATGACTGATGTATGCTAAATCATCTTATTCAACTAACTATAAAATGCCCAAGACGAAATTTTTATTATATCTCATTAACTCATAAAACCCTCCTTTTCTTTTTTACAGTGATCAAAAAATAGGATGGAATTTTAAATTTACAATACGAAAGTTTTCGAGTTTTTGGGTGGTAGTACTGTCACTGTCAATATCTGCATTTTTTTAGTATTTATGTACATGTTTTGTCAAGAACAAAAATTAAATTTATTAAATTTAATAATGCCTGATTGTCGACTCGGACAGCCATCAACTTCAATTGTCAAGTCAGAGAAATCAGAAATCGTCGATTGACAATGAAAGAAGCCCTCTCTGATACTTTTAACAGTTTATTTGAATCTCTGGATTGAATCCAGAATTCTAGTTTGATATCAAACGCTGTTGAAGTCTGTAAAAAACTTTCACCATTTGTATAAAATGAAATGCTTGCTAACTGGAAATAAGATTGAATCTACGCATACATGCATGATAACTGGAGATAAGATTTGAGTGTACACATACGCCCCGGGAACAGACAATCAGTTAAGCAAAAATCGTATATTAGGTAAGCTAAGACCAAAAAGAGCGGACCAAAGTCGATCAAAAATCGAGGTGATAACAACAGTTTTTGTCGATTAGCGTGGTTTGGTGCATTATAAATTGCTTCTATCGGGACAAATTGTTAACAATGAATATTATTTATGGATTATGCTACTTTTAAATGAAGCTATTCACAAAAAGTGGCAGAATTTTTATGGTCCCATAACTATCCTATTCATCTTATGTAGCAGAATACATATCCATGCAGTTGCAGTATTTTATTTATAGTCTATTTAACTTGAGAAAGTCGATTGAATTAAAGATTGAATATCACAGTACAAAATTTAAAAATTTTCTACATAATATAATTTTCGAAATTAACTATTAGTATTAGTAGTTAAATATAACTAAATTCATTGTATAAAACGTTTCATTAATTATCTTAACTTAAATCTAAAAATTAAATTAAATTAAGTCTCTGGCCATCAAAGTGCCTGAGTTATGGTCATTTTAAAATTAGTTTAATATTCAAATTTTCGAGACCACAGGTATATGGTTTTTTTTTTGCCGATATTTTGCTCCTAATAGGAGCCAAATATTTTCAACCAAATAGTAGTTAATGAGTCCAAAAATCGTTCCGTTTGTAAACAAAAGACCTACATGTAGATTTTCTATTAATTTTTAAAAATATAAGAATTAACGAAATAGTGTGGAAATTTTATAAATTTTCATATATTTTCATTTTATTTTTGAATAATGAAAAACATCAATATAAGTATAAATGTATGCAGTAAGAGAACCTGCAGTTATATATCTGTAGTTACTGTTATTCTAGTTCTTGAGCATGGAAGGGGTTTCTTTTTGCTGCACACACAAAAGAACTAATATGGCTGCTGCGTTTAGTTTTAGGAACCCAGAATATTGTCAAGTCCTATCTTATTGAAGTATTTTAATATTTTTTTTAGAATCTTTTTTTAAATTATCATTGCTTGTGAAGCTTTTAAAGTTTTCATATTATGTTGTTATTTTGGAGAAGCATAACTTTATAAAATTTATGATATTATAATTAAGGTTGTTAACGTCATTATTATCCCTAAAAATAAATTTTATATTTATTTATTTAAGACAATAAAATCAGTTAACTTTGCTTACAAAATTTTTTTTTAGAGAGGTTCCGCAAAGTAGTGAACTACAATAACAAAAATTTTTTTTATATTTATTTTTTGAATTTTGTATTTATGTAGATTTAGCAAATAGAATGTATTTGGAAAAATTTTAACAAAAATAATTTTTTGATTTAGTTACACAAAAATGTATTCAAATTTCTAAATTAATTATAATTTATATGAAATTTGCGTACAAATCTTATTCTGTTGCGAAATTGCTCACAAATTACATATAAATTAAAATTAAAAAGAAATTTAAATACATCAAATTTTGACGTATATTTAGAAAATGAATTTTGGATAGGAGTGTCTGATAGATATTGCAACTGACAGATTTAAAGATTGCGGTGCTATATAGTCGTGCCATCACAAAGCAGTTTGTATCAAAGCAGATACTCATCCATTATCACAAATTCCTTAACAAATTTCTATATAGTGTCCTGCATTCACATAAATTAATTATAAATGTAATAATACATATATGACTTTTTTGATGGAAGATTTTGATTGCTTAAAGATTTAAGAGCGCTTCCTTTGACGTTTCTGTTTTTCGTATGAATCATCACGTCCTAGTATGTATTCCGGTTTAGTAGTCGCACACCTCTTACGTACAGTTACTGTAACATCATTGTTATATCCATGTGCTTTGACTAGATTAGTATCGGTTTTAGGTGTTTCCTTTTTCCAAAATCTTGAGTGATCATAGCACTCTTTACAAGTTTTTGTATTTTTCGCCAGATTGGAATAATAAGTTGGTACATCTTTGCCTGGTGGTTTATTTTTCGTGCACAAATTTTTATCCTCACTTTGCATTTTTTTTTGAGGCCTTTTGTTTGTATTCCAAGTTTTGGGTATGTCGAAAGATGATGCTGCCGAGTCGCTATCTGGCTCTTCACTTGTTTCTCTTCCAGCAGTTTTTCTTGTTAATTTTTTATTAGCAAAAGTTTTTTTGCAATCAGCTGATTTATGAGAGAGATTGTGATAGTAGTGCTTATCTAGTGATTCATCAGAATTGCTATTATTTCGACGTTTCTCTATTTTCTTCGGTTTTTTGTTATCATGGTGTATTTCGTTTTTGCAGTGAGATATATCGTGATAATAGTAACTAACTGATGGATCTTTATATTCCTTTGTATAATTTTCTTTCCTTGAAGTTGCTTCGTCATGACATTGCTTGTTATGTGAAAGCATGTGATAATGGTTCTTATCCTTAACTTCACATTTACTACCTTTACTATCGTCACTATCGTAATCACTTTCTATTTCTCTATTCCTTGTTGTTTTAGGCACTACATTTTTATCTTCATTTTTCGCATTCATTATTCTGTGAGAAAGATGATGGTAATACTGACTTATATGCGGGGGTTCTAGGTCAGAACAACTTTTTTCCATTTCCATTTCTATTTCCTTTTCTTTACCATAATCAATATTACTTTCACTATCAGTTTGTGGTTCAGGATCTTTCTTACGTCTTGCGAATAATTTTGTGAATGGACCTGCACATTTCAGTAAATTTTCACTACTTTCTATCTGTACGTTTAAATGTGTTTTATTTGGTTCAGATGATTCCGGAAAATCTTGTTTGGTTTTCTGAAATTTTTTTTTGTTAGTTCGATTAGTATCCTTATTTTTGCGCTTGCGAGGAGATAGATTTGAGCTCGAAGTAAAAGGGTAATCAGTAGACGAATTTGCATTTTTATATTGCTTATTAGCTTTACTTATTTGACATACGCATTCGTCACCACCACAGCAGCTACTGTCACATTGGTTATCATATAATTGAGTGTGATACCTTTTTAAAGATACACCAGAATCAGTGCTTCGCATTTCTGTAGCATTTGGTTTAATCCATATTTCTTGTAAATGCTTTTGTTCAGGTTTTCGTTTTTTTCGGCGGGAAGTAACTGGCTGTTTTATGCTTTCCGCAGATGTTGTTTCTGTGATACATTGGCAACTGTTTAGTGAATTGGTGTCTCTTCCTTTTCTGCGTTTTTTTTTAAGTGTAACAGGCTTAGTAGCGTTTGATGAAACGTTGTTGGTGTTTTTGGATACATATATTTCACGCTTACTATTAAGGTTTTTGTCTGCTTTAATATCTGATACTGGCCGAGGTGTTGGATTATGGTACCCATGTGCAGACACAGTTTTTATTGGCTTCCTGCAGCTTTTAGGCGTTTGTTGTTCATTTTGGTTTACGCTACTGTGATTAGCATGTGCTTTTGGTTTTTGTTGATTGGTTTGTTTGTGATTATGATTATTATCACACGTTTCTTCTGTATCATCATTTTTATAATCATAACCGTGCGCATATGGCGAAAAATTTCCTTTAGAACGTTTTGAAATTTTTGATTCCTTTAGCTGTCCATAGTGTTCTCTTGTAGTTTCTGGTTTATTTACATAATTACTGTATCCATGTGCGGCAACTTGTGTTTTTTGTTCGGTTGATTTATCAGGACATCTACCTCCTATGGAATTATATTTTTTTTTTACTTGAGTATTGGATCCCCCAGATTGCCTCTTAAACATTTTGGGATAATTACTATAACCATGCGCAGAAACATTTGAATATATTCTTTCATCGCTGATACATGTTTTGCTCTTCTTTTTAGAAGTTCTTTTTGAAATACCATTAGGCGTACTAGTATCCGGTGGTCCATTTTCTTCTTCATTTGTTTGGGTGTCCATATCTTGGCATATGTCATCATCATTAGTATTAATTTCTTTTACGAAATCTTTAAATCTGAAACCATGTGCACGTACTCCCATTGTCTGTTTTAAATTAGCTTCTGGAAATTCTTTGCGATTTTCACTAGTTCTCGATTTCCGCCGCCTGTTAACGGTATTTTGTGATTTATGTTTCGCAATTGGTGGCGCTTTTGGTGTTGGCTTTGGAATAACGGATGCTTTTCGCTCATGTTCAACTAATAATTTATGAAAATCCTGAGATATACGCTTAAAACGTGTCATTAAATTGTCCGATATTACTGTTGACTGATTTTTACAGCCAGTGTTCTTAGTTTGATATCCGGACATTTTGAGCATTTCGCAATATCTGGCAATGAATTCCGATCTTGTGTCTCTGCGATGATTTTTATACCACTCTGTCGCTATGTCAGGAACAAAAATGCACTGAGTGCTTGGAGCACACTTTCGAAAAGAATTTCCCCCGTACTGTTTGTTCGATGATGCAGCAAGGTTGAATTCAGCAGGGATCGTAAACTTTTGTTCTTGCTGTTGTATTAAATTTTGTAAACGATTTGTGGAATAATGATTACCACACGTCCCTGAACTCAAAAGTCTCGATGTTAAAAATTTATGGCAGCACGTTCGGCCGAATTGACTGGCTATTTTCTGAACATGTGTTAATCTTTGCATTGTAAAACCATCTACACACTTTTACATGGCACTGTAAACAGATTAGAAATGTAAAATTTTTTCATAAGATCTTCTAAATACATAAAAATTTATAAATTTACTCAAGCACTGCGACTATCCAAACCAAAAAAAAAAGAAAAACCGAACTCAATTTCAAAATAAACTTCACCGAAATGAAAAAGATGTGACAATTTTGGTTTGTATTATCGGAATGCTGAGAACGATGAAACACATCGCATAGAAAAAATAGTTTTTGGTTATAAAATTTATTGGCTTGTCATTGTTATTTTGAGTTATAAGTCAAAGAACATTATGTTAGCTATATATTGTATACACCAAATTGATAAACAGATCTAAAACTCTATCGATTTTGGTTTCATCTTCGACGCAAAATCTTCATGTTTTTTTAACAGTGCCTTAAATTCGGGAGATATACGTTTGATAGCATTTGGATTGGCATTGGAAAGTGCCTCGCTGCCATTATCTTCTCCGAAATATTTTGGTTCTTGTGAAGGATGTTGCGGAGTTTGCAAATAATTAACCCTTTGGATGTTTGTTGGTATCTGCGTAGGAGGTAACAGTTGGTTGTCTTGATACCACTGTTGACTTTGTTGAGGCTGATAATTATGTTGCCACTGTCTACTTTGTTGTGGTAACTGAAGCTGTTGACTTTGTGGTGAGTACTGGTCACGTTGCTGATGTTGACTTTGTTGTGATAACTGATTCAATTGCCAATCACGTAACTGATAGTCGTCTTGCCACTGCGAATTTTGTTGTGAGAACTGTTGCGATTGCTGGCTTTGTTGTAGTTGTTGTTGAACTCGTAGCCATTCCCATTGTTGGGGCTGCTGCCACTGTTGCGCTTGTCGCCATCTCTGATATTGTTGATACTGTTCGCCTATTTCCGGTTGAGCTAGTGCAGGCTTGTACAAAGGATTTGGATATTTTGTCATGTACGGAACAGGAGATTTTGTAGAAATGGGTGTACTTTTTATGGTATAAGTGGGTGCTTGGTTACTTTTTGGCCTGCTATGTATTTGTGCGGTTGGTTGTAACTTATTTTCATAGTAAGGGCTCTGCGGACAGTAAGCTGTTTGATCATAGTATTCTAGTTTTGGATGATATTCACATGGTGCATAGCAATTAATAACATTTTGGTTTTCCTCTGGATATTTAATAAATGTATACTTTTTACCAAATTTTTTTGGAGCTTTGGCATAGTATGTTCTGTTGCTAGTCCCACGCGAACTACGATCCATAATTTTAAATTTTTTTATGGTCTGAACTGAACGGATATAAAATATAATTTAATTTACCTTTATCATATTTATTAATTCTTATATTTTTATAATTTTTTTTAAATACATATTAATTTTTTTTTTCTTCAATAAAATACCTACTATGGTTGAAAAAATAAATGTTAATAAATGTTATTTATGTTATATTATTACGTACATATATCCGCAAAGTTATTTTTGACCTTTTTGGCAAATAATCAAAGTTTCGATTTTATTTCAGAAGGATATGAGATTTATGTCCGTTGTTAATAATATACATATATAAGTAATAAAATGCCTTTTTATTATTTTACTTATCAAAAATATTGAGAGGAAAATTAATCGCTACCAAAATATATAAAGTATAAAAATCCTTACCTGTTGCCTTATAATAAAAATTATATTATATTATAATATTAAAAACATAGAAAAATTCTATGTTTTTGCTAATATTATATTCTCACGAGAGTTGTGATAGTATCAGCTGTCATTTCGAGTTACTCTTGATTTCGGTAGCAAATCAAGTTAAAGTGATACACAATCCAGGTATAAAGCGCTGGCTATGAGTCTGATTAATTTTAATCCAATTTATTTATTGTCAACATTCAACACTCAAATTCTCTTTCTCATAAGTTAAAAAAAATGTCATTCTTAACGGTTGAGGTGAACTTCTAGACATATATATATTGTACCAGTTCTGCATTTATAGTAGTATAACTTGTCTATTACGCGCTTCTGTTCTCAATCTGGATTTCTATACTATTTAAATTTGAATCAATGTTTTTCTTAAAGGTTCTTTTGGCACCATGATTTTGTTTAGCTTTAGATCTTTTTATAGATTATTTTCTTTAAAAATCTAATATGAGCAGATGTCAAGTGTTTCTAACTCAGATAAAAGCCAAAGAAACAATGTGACAGGAAGTCTTATCCCTTTAAGGAAGAGATGATATTCTGTGAAACAAATCTGGCACCTAAATTCTACATTTATTATTTATATATATTAAATATATTAGATATATATTTCTATTACAAAGTATTTATATATAAATAATTGGTTTATATATATATTATATAAAATAATTTTATGTAAAATATTCGTATTATAAAAATATCTTACATTTTTTTCTTTTTAGAATTGTATCGGCAATACAAGCCTCATTTTCATTCCTTGTCGGCTTTGTTGTTTGTAAGTCGACTTGCAGCAAATCATTTGTCTACGCATCGCATTTTCTAATGGAAGCTTATGGCTGGTTTGGTACCGCATACTTCATGTACGACATCTGGTCCATGTATAAGGTGCACAAGCAAAAATTGACCGACAAACTCAAAATGATAAGTATAGCTGCAAATAGCTCAAATGGCACCAAAATCATAAATAACACCAATGGTGGACTTTACGATAAGCACACATACCATACTAATGGAAGATCTAACAATGGACTCATTAAAGGAAATAATGGTACAACTGTTACCAAAGCTCTACATTCATCACAACATGAAAATGAAATCTATGATAATGCCAATGGAATGGCATACGTAAGTAGAGGTGAAAAATGGGGCTTCTTAAAGTACGTAGTGACACAGCCAGTTATGATGATTCATCACATTTTTATTGGTACCTTTGGTTTATTAGTAGTTACGGTAGGTATTGCATTAACCAATTTATTCAAATATAATTGTTTCCTTTCGTTGTTGTTTAGTATATACGTGGCGGTGGACATTGCATCTATAGTTATATGTTTATGATGGAGTTCTCAACACCATTTGTTTCGTTTCGTGGCATTTTGAGTACTATGGGTTTGAAGGAAACTCGTATTTATATTGTTAATGGTTTAACAATGTTGGGTACTTTTTTAATATTTCGCGTGCTTATGTGGCCCTACGTTATGTGGCGTTACAGTGAAGTATTAAATGTATCGCTTTGGGAGGTAAGTAATAACTTTAATCGGATTATGAATAAATTTGTAATTAACTTAACTATTTTTTATTTTAGGCTATATGTGGTTTGCCTCGTGGTTGCATAATAAGTATTTTAATACTATTTCTACCACAAATTTATTGGTTTTTTTTGATGGTTAAAGGCGCACTAAAGGTAAAATTATATTTTATAAAAAAATTTTTCCAGCAGGCTGACTTGTATATTTATAACATAAATTTAATAATCTTTTATTTTTATTATATGTTATAAGTAGTATATTTATTGCTAATTATAATGCAACGACATTTATAATATGTACGATAGTATAAAATTATGTTGATGTGGTGATGCTCTACGCCCTATATTACATTTTATTAGTTTAGTTATTTAATTTGTTATATATTAAATGCCTTCTACATTTATCCAGACATTTTTTTGCATGTCTTATTAATACTTTGGTAGTCTTTTCTTAAATATAATTATAATTACCCATACCACATATATTTTGTACTAATTATATATTTTTGATGTGTCACTCACGTGTAACAAAATCTTATTTAAAGGGTTCAATTGCTAATTATTTTATATAGATTATACTCGAAAATTAAAACTAATATTCTTATTATTCATTATGTTTTCATCATGATGTGTCGAAGAAAATTTACAGCTCATATAGTGTTTCTAGGAACGGCGGGGTCTCTCTGCCGTTCAACACTTTCCAAAGGGACCTCACAAGCAGGTCTCAGCAAATTACAACAACAACGGCTAATAAAATTATTGTAGAATCTTTTTTAATAACACAATTACCTAATTATCCTGTTATACAGACAGTTATAATCACATCATATGTGAAATTCTTGTTATTTTCAATGGTTATTAAAAAATTGAGAAAAACGGAAAGTGAAATTTCGATTAAAATTTGGTCTCGGGGACGAAGTTTTCTGTGTCTTGTCACGTTGATCAAATCACCGTTACTCAGTAATAAATGTCAAGATTTGCGACTATTAGCAGAAACTATCTGTATTTATGTATGCATACTCACACAAAAATAATTAGCTTTTTTAATTTAGACAAAAAAAACGTACTAAAACAATAGTTAAAGTACGAAATTTACAATTGTGATATAACCCTCTGTATAACATATCCTTTAGGTTATGTTCTATGAGCGTAAAATTGCTGTGACCATTCGTCATATGACTGTCTGTATAACATGGCCACTCAATTTTTTGTCCAAACTGACTTACCTTGAGCCGCAAAATTGTTCTTTGCAATAAATTTGGTAGCTATGCTCCATTTCATACAAAGGAACACACGCTATATAATATTAACATATTTATTTATTTTGGGTTTTAGTATTATCAATAGGAATAACAAATAATAATGCTGCTATACTAAAAATTAATCTTATAAAGTATAAGTGCTATGTTTATTTTTGTACTCGCTCAAGAGTACAAAAATAAATATAAATATATATAATAAATAAAATATATTTATTCTAATATTTATTTTAAAATTGTATTTGTTATATATAGTTTTTAATGGACTAATTGATCCATGTTAAATAATACACACATTTTTAAATTAATTTGAAATAATATATTTTATTGTTACTGATATTTGGAATATAGTCTATAGTTCCGGCAGACGATTAAAATGTCATAGCTGTAAGCTTTATATATATAATATAATTGTTATAAATTTCTATGTAATACAACAAATTTAAAATGAAGTAAAAATAAAGGTAATAATAGTAGTCTATAGTTATCTTTAGAGTACTGCTACTCATTTTGTTAAATTAATATTTAGCTTTTTTATATATATAATCTATTTATATGTATAATAAAAGAATAACAGGTAAACGCAGAGACTATGCCAGCTGATGCAACTTTATCAATACTGTGGCAAACTATCTGTGCTCTCCTAGAAAGTTTTCAGCAAATTAAAAGGTCCAGAAATCAGTTTCAGAAAATCTGGAATTGATTTAAGCGCCGTAACTTCTACGTTAATTGTGTTGTTGTAAAATTAACAGAGTTATTAAAGCAGAAATATTTATGTTTAATTTACTTTTTTAATAATAATAGTAATAACATTAATAATTAATTAAAAAATATGAAATTTTCAAAATAAAAAATATAATAAATCTTTCATTTTTATTTAAGGTCTTCTTCCCTTCTAAAATAAAAAAATCAAACCTACAAATTCTTCAAGAACAACAGCAAAAACAATCAAAAAATAACAATCTTTCCCCCTTAAACGATAATTCTCTGGAATTTTATAAAAATGGTAAACTTCCCACTGATGTTGGTGTTAACCTAAACGATACCAGCCTTCCAAATGGTGACGTACCGAGATTTGGAGTCAAAACAATTACACCCCCGAATGCAGATGTTTTTAAAGTTAATGGTTAAACACAGTTTTAACTGGAGTTGAAAATCAAATCTCAGTTTTTTTTAAGTTAAAAACTAAAAAAAAAGAAAAAACTATAAATGAAATTTAATCACAACTAAATAAGCAAATAAACCGATTTATGTTCTTAGCCATTTTGTTATATAGTTTTAAAAACTTGTACAATATTTTTTAATTGCAGAAACAACTAAAACATTTTTGTTTTAATTACTTCATATTTTTGTATATAATAACAATAGATTTTATAAATTCTAATAAAAATTTTATTTATTTGAAATAATGGAATGGTAAATTTAAGTTCATTAGAAAAAAAGACAAAGTGAATGCCTTATGTTAACTAATATAATTTTAATTGAAACTTATATATTTAAAATTTATACAATTATAATTAGTTTTAAAATAATTTTATATATATATTTACATTTTTTTGTAAAAAATATACAAAATATGAAATCAAGTTTATGGTAGGTTTTGAATTAAGCAATTTCAGTTAAGCATAATGAACGTTTATTAAATAAAAATTAAAATTGTAAATTTAAAATGTTTTTGATAAACTTTAAAATTATAAATTATAAATTTTAAATTATTTTTATTTGTTTTTTTTTTATATTAAAAATCCATATATGTATGTTTTAATTAATTGTTTAATGATTAACAATATATTTTTATTTATTATTAAATAAAAATTTATTTATTTAAATATTTATTTTAAATTTAAACGTTTTAACAAAATATTTCAGTAACTGAAGAATTCTAAATAAAATATTACAGCAATGCTACGATTGGTTTTTTTTTAATTTAAGTTGAAATTTATTTTATTTTTGTTTTATTAATTTTAGTCCAAATTTATTTTATATTTTTAATTGCATTACAAAACTATTTTTTTTTAATTTTAGTTCATATTTGTTTCATTTTAATTAAAATATGTTATATATTATTTATTTTTTATCTTAGTTAAATATTTTTATAAATTTATTTATCTTAAAATTTATTTATTTATGTTTTTTTTTAAATTTATTTATTCTTCTTTTCTTATATTTACTAATTTATTTTTTAAATTTATTTATTATATTTTTTTGAATTTTAGTTTTTATAAATTATGTTTTCATTTTTGTTTCTTTAAATTTTATTTAATTTTTTTATTTTAATTTTTTCTTTAATTTAAGTTAATTTTCTCTTTTGATCTTAATTATCACCCTTAAAAAATTATTGATTTTCTTATCAATAATTTTGCATTTTTTTACACATGTTTTTTTATAAGAGTTTAAAATAAATATCTATTTAACATTTATGCAGTTAACATTTTACTTTTTTTAAATTTTAATTATCATATTGTTGTGTATTTAAAATTATTTTAAATTTATTTTATTATTTTTAATTTATTTCATTTCTTATATCAATTCACGTATAATTTGATTTGTAATTTTTCTGAAATTGTTTAATGTATTTTCACTGTCTCCAATCATTTTTTATTTGTGTTGAATCAAATTTTTATAACTTTTATTTATTTTATTTTTTAAATATAAAATGTATTTTATAAAAAATATGTGAATATATAATTTATATGTATGTTTTATATATATTTTTCATATATATGTATTATATATATTTTATATATATATGTATATTATATATGTTTTATTTATATATGTATATACATATATATATATATTATATATACAATTTTTATTTATGTATTCTTTTATTATTTTAAAATACATTATTTAATATTTTCGTTAGGTTTAAATTCTATTTTTAGTTATATATTTTCTTAAATTGTTAATGACATTTAATAAATATAATTTAAATAAATCAAGTAAATTATAATTCTGTTGTGTGAAATAATTGCAAAAAGACAGTATTGCCTACCTACCGTGCATTTCAACTTTTAATGCAATTTTAAAATCTGCACTATTTGATATATAGTATATATGTTTATTTAACTGATTTAAGCATAGTTGACTTTATATAAGTGTAAAAGCGTTATTGCTTTAAATAGAAAATTTTATGAGAAGCTTTTATGTGTGAAAAAGTAGATATATTTTATATTTCAATGTCTTGTAATTGTATTGAAAAACAAATTGTTCTTCAAAGTTTAACAAAAAAAAAAAAGAAAACATTTTAATATAACAAAAATACAAACTTTAAAATATTAATACTTTATAACATATATTTTGTCTGAAGTAAAAAAAAACACTATATATTTTAATATCTATAATATATATACAAAAAAAAAATATAATAGAAAAATTTCTTCTATGGGTAAATATTTGAAAAAGTACTGGAAAATTTTTGTTATATATTTATATTATGGACTTGTCATTATTTTTATATATAGTAATTATAAGAAATCGGGTGAAAAAAATATATATTTTCCTTTTTTTTTGTAAACAATTATTTAAAAAAAAAATATAAACGGAATTAAGTAGACTTATGCAAAAACTGATTTTTAACTCTATGAATTTTAAATAAATTTTATTTATGTATCTTATAATTTTATACATATTATACTTCCATAAACATTGTTATAAATATTCAGGCAAAAAAAAAGGAAACATTTAAAGAAAAAATTATAATAGTTTTCAATTACAAACCAGAACAAATGACATAGTGCAGTTAAAAGAATTTATAGTCTCGGATTTTCCAACTCTTAAGTATTTATGTTTTATGTGACTCTAGTCTTAATTAAAAACAGTTATTAAGATATACTTAAAAAAATATTAAACTTAATTCTCCTATGCAAGGCAGCTTTTTTGAATAATTTAATATTTTATTAAAACAATATAGACATATGTGTAACAAATCCCATATTTTTTTACATATATTTATTATTATTGAAGTGATTTTGAGTGAGATATGAAAAGTTCCATAAATGTTCTTATGTATGTACTTTTGATTTGCAATATCGTTTCAATAAAACCGAAATCCGACCGATAGAGTACCTAAATAGATAAATATATATATGTACGTGTTAGTAAATTAATATATATAAATACATATATATATGTATATGATGTTGTTAAATTGTGAATATGCAAAAGTATTAAAATTAATACAATATATAATGAATACGACTACGATGCTTATACTTATTATATATGTCTATATATATGTATGTTATTATTGAATTGAAAATAATATATATATGTTTTATGATCAAATATTACTGTTTGTTTTATTTTTGTGAAGGGACGTAATTTAGTAATTTCTAAAATATTATGAGAATTCTTCATTTCGAAGGAGTTAAAAATCTTGGTATGAAGATTGCAACGGGCTTTGAATTTAGTTATTGATAGTATATCAGAAATCGGAACTTCGCAGAATTCTGAAGGTTACAACAGTTAAAAAATATGTGTATAAAAGACGAAGTACTGAAACCCTTCGATGAAATAAACAAAAGCCCCAGCATTAATCCAGCTAAAGGTTCATCTAAATTTAAGAACGGTTAATATAACTGCACACTTACTAAGACACACCACCTAGTAAGACATTCAGTAAGACAGTAACAGATCCACCCACCAATAGAAGAATATATGCTAGTTGACACGAATAAATAATAAAATCAAATTATCGTAAAGGTAAATATGAGATAATACGAAACAAACATCAATGCATTATTTCAATTAAAATGGACTAGTTAGCCTATGGGAATCTTAACATCTTGGGATTGTCGTACAAACTTAATTAAAGCGATTACCATAAAAATGACTTGTAGTTTGCTATGTTCCATTTTAAAAAAATTTAACTAATATATTATGAAAAATTATAGAAGCAAGTGTCTGTGCTCTCTTTTAACTGTGTAAAAAAATATGAAGAAGCCATATTAAGTTAATTTCCAGTTTATTCTCAGTGCTGTATATGAAAGAAAATATTTATTAAAGAATATATTAGGCAAGAATAAATTTTTCTTACAAATAATACAGCGTCATATTTGTTATATTAATTTGAAGTGTATTAATTGTTTTAGAACTTAATTTTATTGCTTAGTAAATTAATATTGGTTTTGTCACATTGGTGTGAGTTTTATTTAATAATACACTTCCTTAATAGCTTCGAAAACGTAAATATACTGAAAGAAAGGTTGTTTATTTTTAATGTTTCCATCAAGAAAATTCCGTCATTATATGTGCTTAAAAGTGCGAATATTTCGGTATATGAAAAACGGTTTCGACCTGCTTTCAACATGGTTCTAAATTTTCAGCAACAAAAATCCTTTTTTTAAATATTATTATTAGAATATTTAAAAACTGTAATATGTTAAAAACAAATGTTTGTATAATACATATGTATCAATTTTTTTTTTGCTTCAATATTTTCTCACAATTCACCTAGAACATTTTATAGCAACTCTGTTTTTATTCGCAGCTGTGCTGTCAGATGGTTGTGTAATTACACAAAAAAGTATCAAACCCAATGTTAACAAATAAATTGCATATTATAACAATATTATATTGCAAATTATAGAATATTAGAAACAAATAGCGAATATATGTTTAAAATTATTAAACATACATAACATTAAACGGAGTTGAATAAATTTCTACCTCAGTTAATAAGTTAAAATTCATTGCAATATATTGTAACATGTACCTATAGAAACTTAAACTTTGGATACAATTTGATAGCATATAGATATAGAAATATAAACTTTGTACATTATTTAACAATAATTGTGACAGTGAAAAAAAAAGTTGTGACAGTGAAAAAATGAGAACACATGCGAAAATTTTGTCAAAATTTACTCAATCAGTAAATGAAAGCAAAACAAAAACAAAAACATTGAAGATTTTCGCTCATTAAGTGTAAAATATTGTTATTCAAAGAAATTCATTGAAAATTGTTATAAAAAATAATTGCGCAATTAATAACAATGCATATAATTTTGCTTGTATAGGTGTAAACGACAAAAACAATAGTTGGAATACGAAAAGATATTGTTATCACTGAATAATAGTAATACCAAAGAATCTATAGTACAAAGAAGTGCCACGCTCATACAAACGAAATACCCACTTTATTTTGCTGGTGGATTTATAATAAATCCACCCAACCTCATGCAACAATGTTCGATCGAGTCACAACTGGTATGATGTCCAGTTCAAACTCATTGCAACCCACAATTGTTTTTATACTCCTGTTTCTTTTGCCTTTCTTGTTTTTATTTGCCTATTTAATTAATATACATGGATTAATAACGAAGTGAATGGTAAAGAAATCCCACAAATAATTTTTCGATATACTTTGTTGCTTTATCTTCTTGTACTGGAAAGGCCCATATCATAGGAGTAAAGAGTAATAGAATATATTTTTTTTTTTATTGCAACAAATGATGCACTACAAAAACCATTATGTATGTACGAATGTGATATTGGAGACATTAAGTCTGCAGTATATTAATATGTATGTTTTTATTGCACATTTG